TTGTTGTGATTTGGCGCGCTATACAAATAAAATTTGATTTGATTTGATTTGAATTAACAGAAGGCAGCAGAAAAGAGGAGGGAAAGACTTGTACACTGTCTTATCTCATGTAGAGCGGATAGCTGTCTATGGATAAGTTGACTTTTTTGCAGATTGTTTCAAATTGTTCTTCCAACAAACAAACTGCTTGTTATTGTCTGACTGTTGCAAGTAGCAAGCCATAAAAAAGTGGAAGTGACCTTGTTGACTCTTAGGGATGTGCTGCATACATCCTCTTATGAAACACCACAAGACTCATGCATTTGCAATACAACTAGCAACTCTACATAAACAACTATGATAACTGCAGTTTGGATTACATTTCACCAGCCATGTGACACTGTAGCTTTCTTTGTGTTATGTTCACTGGGTGTAATGTTTTATTTCTAAAACCAACTTTATACTATATAGTGAGTGATTATCATGGATATAGTACTGATAAAATATCATTACCAGTGATGAATTAACTGTCCACCAGCCACCCTGAATCTAGTTCATTAATATATTACATTAGATGTGTTTAATTTATTGTTACATCGCTAAAGGCTTTAACTAGTGCATGGTTGTGACATATTTGTGTGGAACACTGCTACTCTGACACCAACACATGCAGAAAAATTATTGGTAACTGTTGGTAACTTTCACTGCATCCATGCTCAGCACCTCTTTTATAACCTTAACATGTCTCCGTTGAACCCCGTCCTACATGCAAGAGTCATCACCACCCTGACTTATTAGTTCCTTCCACTCTCTCTGGGCTCTCATCCAACTCTGTCCGACACTGACAATGACCGGAGCCCTTAGCATGAGAGTCTAACATGCTCGCCTCTACATCCCTCTATAACCTACACCACCTCAGTACCACTCGGTACATGTCTCTGGGGAGGAGGCACAGCTGAGAAAGCAGCACATGGACATGTTGTTTACTCATCGAGTTGGTGGTATTGTTGTAACATGGTAGCTATAGGATCAGGGGGGCATTTGAGCATCGTTCCTCTGGCCTCGGTGAATTTGCAGCAAGTTTCCTGCTGGCCTTCTCCAGTGGTATTAATGATGAGGTTGAGTATCTGCATTGGTACTGTGGGCTATGAGCATGCATGCGTGTGTGATAATGTGTTTAGTACATGGAGCACCGTCTACCTTCCATTAGTGCTTGTGTATTGTGTAACTTATCTCTCCTTTTTATGTCCACTTGTTTTGAGTTTGTATGTATAAAGGAATAGTTTGACATTTTTGACAAGCATTAAATGAAAACGTTGCTGGCACTTTAACTTATGATATTGAAATATAACAATGCATTCACACATATTTATACAGAGTAGCTTTCTATATCTGGGCAGTGGTGAATCTCTAGCTGTGGGGGTGTGTTTTACTGAGTACATAACTTGCACAGTTTGCTCCGACTAGACAGTTGAGATTTGTTTCCATGTGTTGTTCTTCATTTTTTGTCCTAGTGTTGTGTCAAGGTGTGTTCCCCCATCAAAATGTGTCTCCCCCCAATGTAAACTGGGTTCCACTTCCACCCCCCAAGGTGGTTAGGCTTAGGTTAAAGTTAGGTTCAGGGTAAGGGGAAACATTTCAATAGGGGAACAGACTTCAACACAACATCATGGACATGTTTATAGTGGGGCAGTAAACAGCAACTCTGCTTCTGTATCCACTGGAATCAAGATGACTGTGGTTAGCTCTCACCTGGCTGTTGCTCACATGCTGCATAAAGTTGAGTGTTCTTCAGCTTTCCCCTGGAGTATAGATAGGTGCTTTTTGAATCTGTAGCTCTGCGGGTGCCACAGGCCTGCAAAGCCAGGTCTCATTCACAATGAATAGCAGTTATTGCTAGCCCAGCCTTTTGAATCTGTATGTATGAATGCAGTATAAGGCTACAGCTAGCCGTGAATTAACTTAACTAGCTTGGCATAATGAAAGGAGGAGAAAAAGCTAGAATTCCGAGAAGGGTCTGTCTATGGACTGCGAGACAAGGGTGGAACATGATTTGTTCAGTTATGCCCCTAAATCCTACCCCTAAACACAACCAGTCCAAAGCTCACATAATAACATGTTACATCTTCAGTGATTTATTTAAAAATCAGGAGTTGTAAAAACATTTTGTAGTTTGAAAGAGTTATATGTAGACTGTTTCTTGGCTAAGGTGCAGTAACGTTCTGAAGTCTTGTCGTTAGTGTGCCAGGCAGCTTCTTGAAGTGACCTCAGCCAGATAACAAATATTTAGCACACATCACCTTGATTCTGTTTCAGATCAAAGGGAATGTCCTCACAAAGAAAGCTGTACAAATGTGTGTGAGTTGATTTTTGTGTGGCAGGTAGGGTTATCAGGTGAGTGGGTGTGCGGGAGAGCGAGTGACTCATTCACACTTTTCATTCAGCAGGCTTCGTTTACTTGTGGCTTTCATGTCAAGTGGGGAATTTGTCACCCTTGCTGGGGAAATTTTGAGAAGATGTAATTTAAAAACAGTTACTGATGGCAGTGCTCATTTTTGTCTCTGTGCACTTTTGTGGCAGATTTCCTGATAAGTATAAAAGTGTGTTTTTTTGGCAGACACATTTATTTGTTTTGACATTTTAAAGGAACATCGATGATGTAAATAAAAGAACTGCAGCACTGCTTAATATAAGTCATTTTTGTTTCCTGATGCAGTTCGCATCAGTAATATTTGTAAACAATACTGTAACACGCTCCTATGATCAATTATCAAATACACAAGATGCATAAATGTACATTTAGCTCAAATTAATATGGTCAAAATACAAAAGGGTTGTAACTTAAAGGAAACTTTGATTATATTCTGAGCATGTATGTTGACAAAGATCTGCTGAGCTGCTCAAGATCTAAAATGCCAAATCTAAAAAAAGCATAGGCTTTTTTTCTTTAGGGAAGTATTTGTTCTGCTTCTCAAATCTGAACATTGCCCAGTATTGACACAAACATGTAATGTACTTCCATGGCAAAAGTCTAATATGAGGCAAGAAATAATTCAAAAATACATCCAGCAACAACATAACGCATCATCAGCAACAGTGTAGTTTTTCTGTTGACCACAGTCCAGTGAATATTCATGAAATGTTCCAGTCAAAGCTGTGAAATCCTACGCAGCATAACTTTCACAGTAACATTTTGGATCAAATCCTAATTTCACAGATATGCGCAATGTCCAGTTTGTATGTATATTCCAATATTTTTTCACTTGCTGTCAATTCTGGCTTTATTTATGATTGTCCAAACAGACAAGTTTGTTTATATTGGTTTTCATCTGATCACAAGTCATTTCTACCAACTTTCTACCAACAGAAATTGTTCATCACTGACTCATGTCATCCATGTTTTTGTGGAACCTGGAAAATGTTATGTAAAATGAAACAAAAAGGATAATAACCGAGCATTAGCATGTAGTTTAAACACATGAAAACCTTTGCTTTGCTGCTTAACGTCTCTTATTTGCCTACACATATGGAAACCTTTGTGAATTCTTGGTCATAAAATGGTCTTAGAGAAACATAACATTTTCTTTTTTTAATAGATGCTTGATTCATGGATGATATTATTGTGTTCATGTGTGTTTCTGGAGTACATGTCACGCTAAATGTTAGTAAAAGATGGAGATCTGGTGAATTTAGGTACAACTTGGGCTGGAGTGTGGTGCTGGCGATCACCTCAAAGCAATTCCCAATAAATGAGCAGCATGAGTAGCATAGGCTACTGTACATGTTAGTGGTACTCGCTGAAAAACAAAACAAAACCAAACCAAACAAAACAAAAACAAAGCCTGTACAATGTCCAGGGAAATACATAGTTTTTGCAATGTTGGGGTTATCAGTGTGGTCACCATACCCATTCAAAGACATGCTTCTTGTTTTTTTTTTTAATGAAACTGTAGTGTATGCTTGGTTTGCTCAGCAGCTTTGCTACATTTTGGTTTTGGTTGACTAATGTGACAGACATCATGAAACACTTGCAACCATCGGTGTTATTTATCTGACTTATAGATAGCCGGCATTTGTAAGACTGTCTCTCAGTTTGTTAAAGTCACCAATGGGACCTCCCTGGTATTTTGTTATGCATAGAGCTTCTGATGACATGTGTTCATACCAGAACTGAAACAACTTGCCACACCTGGGTTGTCCTTACTTGCTGGATGAAAAACAGTCAAATGTACTGACAAACTGAAAGTGCTGTACACCCTCATGGCATCAGTGGTGAAGATATGAAATGATGTACTTAACATTGTTCTGGTAATACTGAAATTACATGGTTGACTATTTTCACAGTTTCTTCAATCTGAACTCACTGAGGGCTATTGTTCTCTTTTAGAATACCATAAAAGTCATATAGCGAAACATGAGGACTTGTTTGGGTTTATCTAAATCTTTGCTGCTGATTCTTTTTGAGTAATGTTTAAATGTCATGAATCCAAGAAAAGTAATCATCCTTATACAATGTAATTATCAGCTGAAGGTGTTTTTCATTCTTCATTATTAAAGCCATTAATGTTACTGTGAGTATTATTAGCTAGTATATAAATGTTACCTTTAATGTTGGTGGATATATGTTTCTGCTCTTTGAAACATTAAAAAGAATATGTTCAAAAAGAGAGCAGGCATCCAAACATAGTGTACTATTTTGTAGTGCATGTGGTGTGATATTTCAGGTACGATGGTAACAAAACAGCAACGCAGGTCAAGCTGTGTTTGTTTTTACTTCCTTACAGAAATTTCCCTATATGGTTTGTATATCTTCTTAGAGTAATTTTCATACTTAGTGGGAAATCTGCCTTCATGCAAAACAGACATGATAACCATGTCTGTCCATGAAAGGGGAGGAGTATGAGCATATGGTTATGCCAACATTATACCTGTATATAAAGGAATTCAAGGACCATATTCCAGTGCATACATGAATGGGAATGGAGTTATTAACATAAGCGCTTCCTCCTGTCCCTCCACAGAACCTGAGTGGTGAAGATGCAGCACACCTCATGTACAGAGGACAGGATCCAGCATGCTCTGGACAGATGTCTGGACGGGCTGAAACAGAGCCCCACAGCAGCACAACACTGGAATGGTAAGACTCCAGGGCCTGCGCTTTGGATGAGAACCACAGCTGAGAGAAAGGAGTTTAGTCTGGGTGTGTGGCAGTGGAGCAAATAACAACAGCTAATAATAATAAAAATTATTAATTATTAGTTAGTTAGGTTTCTGCGCTGCTATAGTACAATGATGATGATTGAAGCCAAAACAAAATCAAATTTTGTTCTTTGGACCATTGTCTTAACTTTCCACCAAACAGTCAGAGATACTGAGTGAAGCAAAAACAAATCTACATGGCAGAAATTGGGCATGAGGTTTATTGAGTAGCTGCCCATGAATAGGAAAGACACTCCTTTTACTGTTTGATTTTGTAGTCCCATGGTTGTTGCAAGTCCATGCTGTAGCTCAGATGGTGCACCAGGTTAAATTAATAGGTCCTTTCACAGCAGATCTTTTGACATGTCACAGCAGGCAAAGCACAGGTGCATTTAATCATATTGCACTCCACTTAGGGGAAGTCTTGCTATTGTGTGTGTTGGCTTACAGTAATGGAATAACTGGGACACCTAACCTGTGCATACTGTATCCTTGACAAGTCAAGAAGTCTGCTGTGAACAATAATCTGTTGTAGGGTAGGGTAGTGCAATCCTGGTTTCTCCTGTGCACATGTGCAACAGCCCAGTTAATGTAAAATCAAATATAACCTTTCACGCATAGTTTCTCGAGCCATACGAACAATTGCGTAGCCTTGCTCAAGGGCATGTGACAGTTGTGTTGGGTCAAACCTTGTTTTTCTATGAAGATCAAATCAACACATTTTCCTAGAAATATTAGCCCCAGTACATGTATACATGTGGATGTGATAAGTGCTGTTTAGAGTGAAGACCCAGACATAAGGCTGTTATTTGTTTCTCAACACAAGGACAGCATGTGATGAGTACTTTGTTAGTATATGGGGGCATATGAGTATATACTATAAACATTGGGGCTTGTTGCTGGTGACTGTTGCTGTAGGATAATCAGGTAAACGTGTTATTGGGTTGTTTTTGGGTGCTGGAGGAAGTTGTGTGAATAGACAGCTGGGAGGAAGTGGTGGCACAGACCGCTGTGTGAGTGAGGCATCATGAGGCAGGAGTTAACACGGTGCAAGGTGTAAAAACAGCATAGAAGAGCAAGTAACTAGATAGAGAGTAGATAGAGTGATACTTTCATCATGTTTTGTGTCCTTCTCCAGTGCTGTTTTCATGGCTCTAGTGTCTGGTTAGCAGATCTCCAGGGATGTGTATGTTACCTCTGAGCTTGACTGCTGAATTAGACTTGTTTACCCATTAGTGTTATAGTTTAGTTCTGAGATAATCAAATGTACACATCAGCAGAATCCTTCAGTACTTTCAGCTTAATTTCCAGTGCTGGCATTTTAACAAATGAACAAGTAGAGCTCTACAAATATACCTCTGACCTTTGAATAGACTCAACATGCTGCTTTTGAAAGATCTTAGCTCTCCTGAGTGCAAAGAATTTTAGATTAACAGTCACTGTCGTGTTTCTTGGAAATAATCCATGTGCAACTTGAACAGCCTAGAGATACATTCACAGTTGTTGAGGCTAATGAATCAAATGGAAAGTATGATGTGTGTGAAGGATCAACAAACTATTTCAGTTGTTTCTGTGAATGTAACCTCTGATTGGTGTGGTGTGACACACTGTGAGCACAGCTCCCATTGTTTTAGCTTATGTTTCCATTACATTCCACACTGTAACAGAAAAACTCTAGCTATTCTCAATTTGTGCAAATTTCACTCACGTTTTTTCTTAATTTGCCTTTATTTTGAAATGTTAATAACAAGGCTCATTTAAAAAGGAAACCATAACTTTGTTTTTGCAACAACAGGACATCTATCCTGTCAAATCTGTATATGTGCAAGCATCCTAAATGAAGCACTGAGCAAAAGGTGCTAAAACACACCCCTGAAGTGCACCAGCACTGACAGTCATGAGCTTTAAAGTCCTTTTGTGAGCTGCTATAAACCTACATTTGGTTCATTGCAGTCCCAGACCCTAAAGCAAGTTTATCTTATGTCCACTTCATTAACGCAATGGGAAGTGAAGTGCTGTGTGCTTTATTAGTTGTTGCTAGCTGTACTTCCATTATTATAAGCTATAATGTGTTAGGTTTCACAGCTAAAACACCTCATGTGAACATACGTTTCCTGTTGCAAAACATAGCAGTTCTATAATAGGTAATGTCATGTCTTATATTTGTTGTGATAATAAAAGAAACAGTTGCTTCAGTTGAATGTTTGCACATAAAGTATAGGTGAAGTGGATATGCAATAAAGATACAGTTGTGCAGTTAAAATAAGGTTAATGAAGATGTGGTTTCCATAAGAATGTGCTTATAGTATGCTCATGCTAAAAGAAACATTTCCACTGACATTTCATATGTAGACTATGCTTATTTTCTATAGATTAGAATAACCTACTTGTTCACAGTACCTGCATTTACTAGTTTGTATAGTCAGTGAGGTTGGAAAAATGTTTCATAGACGTTGCTTCTCAGTGTTGAGACTGAGCGAAAAACTTTTACCCTCCCTCTTCCATGGAGTAATATACAAAACAACTTGAAACAGACAAAAACAAACATGGAAATGACTTGTCTTCACAAGAGACTGTCCAAATAAGTTGTATAAACTAATATTTTCTGAGAGTCCTATGTTGCAAATCTTTTAACACTGCCTTGAATTAACAAGAGCACCTGCAATATTGTTTGGGCGCTATAGATTTTAACGTTGTGTTGTTTGCTTCTATTGTATTTCTTCCCACACAGGTTTTGTGGTGCTTCCTTGGCCAAGTCTTTCTTGAAAAAGAAATTTCTGTCACAGTGACATTTATACCAGTTTAAATAACAATAAAATGCCACACAAAATGACTTTTGTGAGACTTAAGCCAGCATCACTAGTTGGTATCTGCTGACTCTGTTGGCGCACCAATAAGCAGCTATTTATTGCCATGGCGAGCATTGCTGCTGCCTGTGTCACTGTTTGGTGAATTTTCTTAGTGATGGTGTCTACTGTAGCCCTGACAACATATGTGTTTAATATCCTCTGCACATGTACACAGATAATACATTTTGACACTGGAGAAGAAATTCCTTCATGTCTTCAACCCACCATCATGTGTGTCATCACAAAAGTACACTGTGAGACACTGGTCAAATGAATTCATGCTCAAGAGGCCAAAATAATATCTTCTGCCTTCAAAAATGTTTTGTAACCAATGTGACTTGAACATGTACAGTATTTACATGAATCTACAGATATTGTTTCACTGTTGATGTCCCCAGCAGGTCACTCAATGAACCGCTGGAGCCTGGAGGAGCTGGTGAAAAGAAACCCTGAGAACTTCCTCATCCTCTTACAACAGATCATCATAAAGACCAAAGAGGTTAGAAGACAAAAACAAAGTACTTTCCACTGTATGGTCATCCTAACCACTGCTCACTGACTGTTTGTTTCTTAATATATGTGATGATATGTTCAGGTTCAGGAGCAGTGTCAGTATGAGCTGGTGGTTCCTCTCGCCATCATGTTCTCCTCCACCCTGCTTCAGGTACAAGCTGTTTTCATCTAGATGTTGTCAAAACATTTAACCTCTTGTCACCTCTCACAACCATCCATGCTGTTTAACTTATGTAAGAGTACTCTCCACCCAAAAGGTCAATTAGTTCCTAATTTCAAACCACTACGATGTTTAGTCAAGGCACTGTGGCACAATATCTCTAGCAATTGCAAAAGCATAAATAGTATTTTCAACATACAGAAACTAAAACTGACAATGACTTGCCTCTACTCATGGTTAATCTCCATCAGTGTGTCAGTCCTGGCTCAGCTTGACTGTCTGTGCCACAGATCTCCATTGTTGTTCAAAAATGACTAAAAACGCATCAGGGGATGCATGAGGAATATTGAAATATCAATATAGGAAATGACCTCCCTAAACCTTTAACCACCCTGGTTTGTGCTTGGTTTGCAGACACCATACTGTCCTCCAGACACAGAGATGTTGGAGGAAGCTATTGAGGTGTTTCATTGCTTCCTTACCTGGCCTGAGCCATACTGCAGTGTGTGTAGAAACCTCCTCTCCACACTACAGCTGGAGATCAAGGCTCCGGGTAAATATGAAGTATATAATTCATTTGAAGGGCCTTTCTCTTTCTCTCAGTTTTTTTTTTTACTAGTCTTCTCTGACATATTCTTTATCTTACTTGGTTACCTTCAGTACTGTTTTTCCATCCCTTGTAATTGAGCTCCCCCTAGTGTCAAGCCAAGGAAAAGCATTTAGGATGATACAAGCTCAAGGACTGTTGTTAACACACACCACAGTATCAACAATGACAATGATAGGAAGATGATAAGGTTTCAGGCTGAAGTGGCCACTTTTTCATCACTACCTGAATTTGTCTGAAAGCGGATGTAGATTCATCATTTACCAAATAAGAAAAGCAGAAGCTGCACCACCTACAGAGAAATTCAGAAGAAGGGTCAAAGGAAGGGCTATAAACAGCAGCAGCAGAGTGAATGAACACATATTAATGAATTCATGTCTGTGAAATGATGCGGTTTTCAGGGTTTTTAAAACAACATCATGATCCCTCAGACAAGACAGATTTTTTTGTACTCATTCAGTCATCCAGTGCACCTTAATAAAATGCCTTAATTAAATGGACGTTTTTACTGCTCCTCTTGTCTGTTCTATATTTCAAGTCTTTGAGCATACTTTACAACTGCTAAAATGCCTCAAAGAGGGAAAAGAGCTAATAAATCAGAAGCGACGGAGGATATGGAGGCAGAAGAAATGTATCACAGAGCGGCGCAAGTTACAGATATCGTGGATCATGAGAAACAGATGTTCATGGCGATGCTTAACCAGCAGCAGGAGTGCTTCAAAGGCTTTGTGCAACTAATTATGGAAACAAACAACAGGAGATTCGATGAAATGACCAGAGAAATACAGGAGATAAAAACGAGTCTGCAGTTTACCCAGCGAGAGGTGGATGTGATTAAGACTGCCATGGATGAACAGAAAATACAAGCCAAAGAATCGAAGGAAGACGTTTACAGAACGTGTGAGAGTTTAATGACTATAATGGATAGAATGGAGCATCTGGAAGCACAGTCCAAGCGAAAAAACCTGTTCTTTGAGGGAAACATGGAGACAACTGGAGAAAGCTGGTCGGAGGCAGAAGGTAAAGTGAAGGAGATTCTGAAAAATAATCTGCAAATTCATCAAGAAATTGAGATGGAGCGGGCTCACAGAATCGGGAAAACTACGGATGGT